AATACACTTTGTTTAATTAATTCCATACTCATCCTCCAACATTCACCCTTAATGTCATTGCCTCTAGGGGGCCTTTTCTGATCCCATAGATGATGTCTCTTGCCTCATCACTCCATACTTACCCTCACCATATTTTCCAGTAATCATCTGTTTTGTTTGATTTTCCTACCAGATCAAAACCTCTGTGAAGGAAAGGACTGTTCTTGTTTTGTGCACCCCTGTATCCTCAAGGTCTAGCACAGTGCCTGGAAAACAGTAGGCATTAAATAGGTATTGAAGAAATCAATTCACCTAGCAACCTTGTAATATAAGCAAAAAACAGAGTATGTGGTAGCCAAGAACCCAGGGCCACTTTATGACTTTCATGGGCCCCATCCTGCAGAAACATATCTATTTATAAATATAAGCACTGTGCCCACTGTGCCTAATAGATAAGTTGGGCCCACAAGTATCAGCAAAAGAGGGATTAAAAGCAATGGAAAAAGTCAGAAGGAAACAGAAGGAGAACCAGGTTTGGGAATTAGCCTGACTTCTGATATGTGATAGACAATGTAACTGTAAATCAACTAGAATGTTTTTTAACTGCAACTACTAGAATCCTGACTCCAATTCACTCAACCAGTAATAGGAAAGTCCAGAGGTAGGGCAAGGTGTGGGCTCAGTTGATTCAATGCCTCAATAGTGTATGCAAAATTTCAGGTTCTTAAATGTTTATTTATTTTTGAGAGAGAGAGAGAGAGAGAGAGCAAGTGGGGAAAGGGCAAAGATGATCCAAAGTGGGCTCTGCACTGACAGCAGCAAACCTTGTGTGGGGCTTGGGACTCAAGGACCGTCAGTCATTGACCTGATCCGAAGTCAAATGCTCACCCCACTGAACTACCAAGGCGCCCTTCAGGTTGTTTCTAAATCTTCATCCTTCTGTCCACAGCATCAACTTCATCGCAAGGACAGTACCCCCTAATGGTCATCACATAACTGGCAGCAGAAATGAGGCCACATCCCTCTTTGTTTACATCCAGTGAGACAACCAACATATTTTAGTCCTTCACTGTCATCTGATTAGGCCAACATTAGACATGCATCCAACCTGGACCAATAGTAATCCCCTGGGAAATACCTCACACTGGCTGATCTAGCAAGTCAGGATCCTTTCCTAGAGCTAGGCATGTAGCATGCACCAGAACAAAATCAGGGAATGGGAAATGTCTGTAACCCAGTCCACAATTCTTAAGCCCTCTCAAGAATTCAAGAGATGTGGGGCACCTGGGTGGCTCAGTTGGTTGAAAGCCCAACTTTGGCTCAGGTCATGATCTCACAGTCTGTGGGTTCGAGCCCCACATTGGGCTCTGTGCTGACAGCTCAGAGCCTGTAGCCTGCTTTGATTTCTGTGTCTCCCTCTCTCTCTGCCCCTCCCCTGCTTGTGCTCTGTCTCTCTCTTCTCTCTCAAAAATAAATAAACATTAAAAAAATTTTTTTAAAGAATTCAAGAGATGTGGAATGAGTTATCAGATATCAACTACATAAAGGTATATAAAGTGTTGATGACAAATAGTAAAACATATTTGCATCAAGTAAATAAAAAGTTCAAAAGACCATTTAATCCAAGGGAAGATCTTTAAGAAGATTTGTGGAGGATGCTTTTAGAGAAAGCTTTGCTGTAAGCTGCCTCCCCAAATCCTTCCCCTTAAAGAGGGAAGGAAATTGAACTAGGTAAGGAACTGCTCTCCCACTTCAAACCTTAGTGAGAGGGGATTCCACTGGTCTCCTCAGAGAGCTTAACATATGACCTCCACACTGGAGTAGCCCACATTGGAAGTGATGCCTACTAAATTTAGAGGCTCTCTATTGGAAACATTACCAAATCACAAATGACCTCCACGTTGCTAAATCCAAACATCAACACTCAGTCTTCATCTTATTTAACCTATCAGCAGCTCAAAACAGTTGAAACTGGCTTCTCATAGACCAACATTCCAGATTTTCCTTCTACCCCCATGATCCCTCTGCCCCCATGATCCTCCTTTTTTGCTGCCTCCTCCTCACCCTCAATGCCTTGATGACAGAGTACTCCAGGGCTCCATCCTTGAATCTCTTATTTTCTCTGCCTACATTTATTCTTTCTATATGTTAGCAACTTCCAAATGTTCGCCTCCAGCCCAGAACTCTCTTCTGAACTTCAGGCTCCTATATTTACTGCCTTCTCAAAGTCTCCACTTGCAAGTCTAATAGGTATCTCAACATGTGCAAATGCAACTTCCTGATTTTTCCCTATAAACTTGTTCTTCCTTGACTTTCCAATCTCAAGTAATGGCAACTTCATCCTTCCATCTGCTCAAGCAAAAAGATTGGAGACCTCCTCTGTCTCATATTCTACATCCAACCCATCAACAAAAGTATACTTGCCATTGTCTTTGCTTTCAAAATATACCCAGCATAGCTCAGTTCTCATCATCTCTTCCATCATCTTTTGCCTGGATTACTTCAAATGCCTCCCAACTTTCTCCTTCCTTTTTTACCTAGATTATGACAAAGAGTTCCCTGGTGTTTTTCCACATATGAGCAATTGTCTGCCAGAATAAGACTTTTTAAAATGTGAGCTGGTGCTATTCTCCTACACAGAACTCTCCACCTCATTCAGAGCAACAGCCAAAGTCCTAATAATGGCCTGTCAAATTCAGCATGTGCCTACCTATCCCCCGTGTACATACATACCTCCCTGACTGCATCTCCCCTAAATTACTTCACTTGAACAGCTCCCTGTTATTCCTCAAACATACCAGACACACTCTGACCCCAGGGCCTTAACACCAGCTTTTCCCTCAACCTCCAGTGCTTTTACTCCCAGCAAGCCACATGGATTGCTCCCTCAACCTTTTCAAATATTGTCTTCTCAGCGAAGCTGTTCCTGACCACCCCATTTTAAATGGCCACTATCACCACCTGCCCCCCTTCCCTGTTTTATTGCTCATCGTACTCATATAGCCTTTTGCTTCTATAGTAGTCCACCATTATTTATTTGTCAGTCTCATCCCAACAAAATATAAGCTCCATGAGAGCAGGGATTTGTGTGTGTGTGTGTGTGTGTGTGTGTGTGTGTGTGTGTGTGTGTGGTTAAATGCTGTATCCCCAGCAACTAGAACAGGGCCTGACATATGACAGGTACTCAATAAATCAGTCGAATTATTGTGTGAATATTTTGTTTTCTATAGTTATGTATTGTTTGAATGTTTTACAAGAATAAAATGTTTATCTATCCATTCAACAAATATGGATTCAGTGCAAATACAAGCCCAGTCACTATGCTAGGTACTAGGTGCTGCTGGACGTGCATAACTGGGCTGACTACATGACCTGGGCTCATAGAGCTTAGTCTGGTGACAGATGATTGAAATGATGACAAAATGAGTGTTAAGGACTCACAAGTCTACAAAGCACATCACAAAAAAAGCTAGGTGGATGGAGCAGAAGGACCTGGGGGAGGGAGAGCACCACAGGACACTGGTAGCCAGGCTCCACGTCATATGAGCTCTCTGTGAATTTGCTCAGGACCGCCTCTGTTCAGCAACAAAAGTGTAGGAAGGAGCTGATGATTCCCTGGAAAGTAGTATCTGAACCCAGAAAGATCCACATCCATTACAGAGGTGAAAGGGTGAGGGCAGGACAGAGCGGAGGAGTGGAGTCAAGACAGGAAACAATGGCTGAAGGTTCTAGAGGGAGGAATGTGGCACATTCCTCTAGAACACAGAGAGCAAGGGGAGGGTCGTGGGAGAAAGGGCTGGAGAGGGAAAGGGTGGGCAAGGCCTGGCAGGCTTTCCAAAAAATTCCAACTATATCCTAAAAGGAATCGGAAGCCACAGGAAGGCTCTTGTTTGGTTTTGCTTCATTCTGTTCCATTTGCATTGTGGTGACATGACTGGACCTGTATTTTGACGGTATTATTGAAACAACCTTTGTGGAGAATACTACATCAAAGGCACCTGACCAGGTACAGGAAGATTAGTCAGGAGGCAGTAGAAGATCAGCTCAGGGGATGGAGCGCCTGGGTGACTCAGTTGGTTAAGCGTCAGACTTCAGCTCAGGTCATGATCTCACGGTTCCTGGGTTCGAGCCCTGCGTCAGGCTCTGTGCTGACAGCTAGCTTGGAGCCTGGAGCTTGTTTCGGATTCTGTGTCTTCCTCTCTTTCTGACTCTCCCCTGCTCACACTGTCTCTCTTAGAAATAAATAAATACATTTAAAAAAAAAAGATTAAAAAAAAAAAAGAAAAAGATCAGCCCAGAGGAGCAACACTGGTAACTTGCCCCAGAGTAGAGAGGCAGGAAATGGAGGGAAGTCGACCAGTTCAAAAGATCTTACTACCTATGTGTTATGGGCTGAATTTTGTCTCTCCAAAATTCATATGCTTAAAGCCCTAACTCTCAGTGCCTCAGAATGTGACTGGATTTGTAGGTAGCATCTATTTTTTTTTAATTTTTCAATGTTTTATTTATGTCTGAGAGAGAGAGAGAGCGCACGAGCAGGGGAGGGTCAGAGAGAGAGGGAGACACAGAATACGAAGCAGGCTCCAGGCTCCGAGCTGTCAGCACAGAGCCCGACGTGGGGCTCAAACCCACAAACCATGAGATCATGACCTGAGCCGAAGTTGGATGCTTAACCGACTGAGCCACCCAGGCGCCCCTGTAGGTAGCATCTTTAAAGAGGTAATTAGGTAAAATGCGGTCAGCAGGGTGGGCCCTAAACCAATGCAACTGGTGACCTTATAAGAAGAGATGAGGACACAGACACAGGGCGAAGCCCATGTGAAGACATAGGGAAGGCAGCCATCTACAAGCTAAAGGGAGAGGTCCTAGAAGGAACCACACCCATCCACACTTTGATTTCTAGCCTCCAGACCTGTGAGAAAACAAATTTCTAATTATTCAGGCCACCCAGTCTGTGCTATTTGTTATGGCAGCCCTAGCACACTAATGCACTGTAGGGAAAAATGTAAGTGAGCAATAAGACCTTTGAAAAATAAAAATATACTCTATTTATTCTAATGTAAATTAGGGTTGTATAGGATGGTAAAATTCAAACAAAAGAGCATTTCTTCAGTATTTCCACTGATGGCTTCTGCAACACATCTGTATTCTCCCTAAAATGAGGAATAAGAAACATAAGTAAATAAAATGTTAGATGCCTCTATTTTGTAAGACTTTTATAAGAATTTTGTCTTACTAGGATGAAGCCACTTACATTAAATTGGTTGTCATTATCTCAGTTTCCTAAGGAGATGAAATTTTGTATGCCTTTTGAATTCAGCGAGCATAAACCTATTTATTTCCCAATTATAAGGGGATATTTTTAACAGTGTTTTGAAACTAGTCTGTGAGATATTTTTTTTAATTTTTTAAATGTTTTTTTATTTTTGAAACAGAGAGAGATAGATCATGAGCAGGGAAGGGGCAGAGAGAGGGAGACACAGAATTGGAAACAGGCTCTAGGCTCCAAGCTGTCAGCACAGAACCCAAAGCGGGGCTCAGACTCACAAACCATAAGATCATGCATGACCTAAGCCAAAGTTGGATGCTTAACTGACTGAGCTACTCAGGTACCCCTAGTACCCCTAGTTTGTGAGATTTTCAAACATTCAATATCCTTAAAAAAAAAAAAAAAGGTAGGGAATACACATTTTAAATGACTATTTTAAAATAATCACCCAAGTAGGTGCCTGGGTGGCTCAGTCTGTCAAGCTTCTGAGCTTCACGTCAGGCTCTGGGCTGACAGCACGGAGCCTGCTTGGCATTCTGTCTCTGTCTCTGTCTCTGCCCCTCCCCCTCTTGCACCTTTCTTTCTTTCTCTCAAAAAATAAACTTTAAATAAATAAATAAATAAATAAATAGTCACCCAAAGTGAAATATACACAGAATTTCATTGCCAGGCATCTAACACAAATGTTTAAAATTACATCATTACTATTCGGAGGCAGTTACTGAGTTAATAAATGGCAGTCGTACAGTGCTTTTACCCAAAGATATTCAACATATTAATTATGAGCATTTGTATTACTTTTAGCCATGGATATTAGAGGAAAAAAATGAAGTGAAAAAGATCTTTCTTTTGTTTTACTTTTCCATATTTCCATATTTTACAGAAAGAAGAAATAACAAAACCCCCGAAGCTAAATAAAAACAAAAAACAAAATCTTAAGCACCTTAATGTTGAATAGCTATTTTTGAAGTTGTGAATGGATTATGTCAAATTCTTAACACATTTGTAACTGCAAGAGATTAAGAAAGTACAAAAAATGACTCTTGAACAATACCTTAGAAAATCGTATTCCCTTGAAGGAGAAGCCTACTGTTGTATTCACAGTTTCTACAAACAAAATACAAAATACAAAAAATTATATTGGTAATCACTAGGTGATTTTTTTAATGTATTATGAGGGCACCTTTTATGCTGCTACCAGCAGAAGTTGTCCCAAGTCAATTGTAGAGAAGTAATGAACTTTATACCCCGGCTATGAGTCTCTATGGCTTCCTTGCCACCCCAAGCATCTCTTGGTATCAGCCTATATTTCATCCCTTGGGGGATACAAAAATTTAAAGCCTATTTGTCTCAATAGTGAATGAATGAATGTATAAGTCAGTGCTAATATGCTTCATCCCATATTACATATGTGTATATTTAATACTGCTGCTCCTTCAACAGAGTAAAATAGACCTTTATAAAGGTGGAGGAGAGAGTTGGGAGGAGGCAGCCAGCATACCAAATATCCTTCCAATCCCACCACTGAGAAGACTAAATAGTCACTGTTGAAATGCACAGCCACAGACCTGGCCCTGCAGAAGTTGTGGACACAGAGTCAGAAGTGCAGGAAAAAACATACTCCACCCTCCTACTCAGAAACACCAAAGGAGTGAATTTACAGAGTAAGGATAGAAAAGTAGGAAGGTTTTGAATCTCTAACAAAAGCAATAGTGGCCAAAAATACCTTTTAAAGTAATATAACAAATACAAACAATAATCATTCTTGTTCTCCTAGCTAGCTAAAGATAATCCTTAATAGCAAATGAATTGATTATGACTGCATGTATACTTCTATTTTCATTTTTAAAAAGCATCTATTTGCTTCTGGGTGTGAGAAATAATCCTACTTCCCCAATCAAAGAAGGGACACAGAGACTTGGAGCACAGTAAAGTGAGGCTTTAATCAACGTTTCTTGCAAGAGTGGGTGTTTGATGGACAGGCACACTTGGGGCAGTTATGGCAGACAGTTTATCTCCTAGCATGCAAGTTCCTCCCCTGATTCCTCATTGACTGAGTACTACAGGTTACAGTCTTATCTGGCAGTTGCCTATGCCCATATAAGGCCAAAAAGTAGTCTGATTGGAACAAATGTACATTCCTTGAGGTGATGCAGAGACTTCAGTTCTTTGGCACATGCTCATTGCAAAGCCCATGAAAAATAAGCCCAGGAAATGAAGAGGGGAAGAGGAACCAGGAAATGAAGTGTCTAAGGGTTTGGGACTACATTGTCTGGTGGGGAGTAATTTGTACATATTTCCAGTAAGTTGTAAACCTATTGTTAACGAAACAGCACAGCTTTTATTTGGTATTTCTGAAAATGAATCAGTTCACTTACTTCTTATTAAGGGGTGTTAGCACACTGAGATGTTAGTTCTTGAGCTTACTAAAGTAATCATGTCTTCATGATATTCTGAGTTTTCATTCAAGGCCAATCCAATTCAAATGTAATAGTTCAACAAGTATTTATTGAAAGCCACTGTATACCAGGGACTGAGAAGACAACGGCTAGTATACACTGTTCCTTCCCTCAAAGAGTTAAAGTCTACTGGGGATATAGACAAGCGAAGAAGCCACTCCAAATGCAATGCAATGAAAAGATCCAGTAAGGATTAAGGTAATATAGCATTTCTGGTAAGAGTGATAGTTCCGGATCTGAATCCTAGCTCATCTACTTACTTGGAGTATAGCCTTGGGCAAGTCACTTAACTTCTCTGTGCTACAGTAAAATGGCAATGGATAATAACACATACCTCATAGGAAGATCATGAAGGCTATATGAGTTAATACATGTTAGTGCTTAGAACAATGCCTGGAATGTAGCACTCATTAAATGTTACTAACATTAAAATCTTAGTTATTATAACATTAAATGTTATTCCTTCTCCTTTCTAGACCCTCTTTCCATGGCATCTTGTGAATAAAAATGATGTCATTAATATTATCATTGATATGATAATTACCGTTATTCAAGAGATGCCGGTGGGAAGGGAATCTAGAAAAGAGAAGCAAGTGGGTTGAATTGTCATAAAGGATGGGAAGGAAGGACAAGAAGGATTTTCTAGGTGGCAGGAAAAGAAGGAGCAAAGGCAGGAAAGTGAAAATCAGTATGACTAACGCACACACCTGCAAGAGGCTCAGTGTTATTAAAGCAAAGAAGAAGCACGAGTGCTAAGAACTACATCTTACTCTAAGAAGCAAGCAAAAATGGGCTCGGGTCCCACATTTAAGAGAATGGAGGCAATAAAAGAATACCCAAGAGTGTGAAAGGTGGGTCACGTGACTATTGTCACAGATGGATTTAAGGGTGGCACTAAGAGTCAGGGACACTACTTAGAGGCCAGGAGGTGGTAACAGTGGTGACCACCAGCTCAGGCGCCCTCCCCCGTTTCGGTGTACCTCATTAGCCTGCCGCTCTCCTTGACAGCACTTATCATAAACTGAATCTTATTTCATTTTTGTCTTATTTCATGACTTAGTAATGATCTTGTTTGCTGGTTCATAAGCTCTATGAGGACAGGGCTTTGCTTTGGTCACTTCTGAAGCTCCAACTGCTAGTCCCTGGTCCCTGGGTACCTGGCTTCAGGACCAGAGATATCATTTACAAGGCCCAGTGCAAAATGAAAATGGGGGCCCCTTATTCAAAAGCAGGGGAGACATCCTATGAAGAGTACTGAAATATAAAGCTTTTTCTTTTCCTCTACAGTCTCTCTCTAGACTTGCCATATTTTTTATTTGCTATTTAATCTCATTTGAATTAAAACAAAATTTTAAATTACCATTCATCTTTATATTGCACAATGACAGTTTTAAATACAAATATCAGAGCTTTTAACTCTGAGACAGAATCACTGAAATTACACAGTTTGTATTTGGTGGCTCATCCCCAAAAGGTGCCTCAAGCGGACCAGAGAAAACTAGCACAAGCCCAACTCTGGACCTTTGAAGGAGGAAAAGGGACCCCCGGGCAAGGAATGATCCAAGGGAACGTTCCCTTGGCTCAGAGTACAGAAGCGCAAGGAGAACCAGGGGGCTGCTCCACAGTGGGGCAATTACGCAAAGCGTGGGCCTGATAGCTGTCTCAGTTGGGGGGCCCTCCCCGTGCTGCCAGGTATCTCAGGTCTCAGTTTGGGGCAGAGAAGACAAATTAGGCCTTTCTTTCCCAAAGGCCACTGTCCCACCTCAAGGGTTTGGCAACTTCCATGTAATAACCTCCACAAGCTGCCTGTTGTGGCGGGGCAAGGGCAAGCCACTGAATAGTGCCACGGTGCTGCCAGCCCAGATCGGGTGGCCATGGCCACACTGCAGGTCAGACACTGCAGGGCACCTGTACCTGATCCTGACCCTTCCTGCATCCAGGCCCTCACCAGGGACAGAGGGCAGCAGGGGTCACTGGCTATAACAGGAGAGGGGAGTACCAAGCAGGGCCCAGGGTGCCAGCACAGGAGTGGGCAGCAGGGAGCCGGGAACCCATCTAGGGGAACTGCATGCATGCCCCACTGTCCCATCAGACCCCACTTACAAAACACACACTCAAAGATAAAATTATCGGGGCTCGGTCGGGCGCCTGCGTGGCTCAGTCGGTTGAGCGTCCGACTTCGGCTCAGGTCATGATCTCACAGTTCGTGGGTTCAAGCCCTATGTCAGGCTCTGTGCTGACAGCCAGCTCAGAGCCTGGAGCCTGCTTCAGATTCTGTGTCTCCCTCTCTCTCTGATCCTCCCCTGCTCACGCTGTCTCTCTCTCTCAGAAATAAATAAAATATTAAAAAAATTTTTTTAAAAAGATAAAATTATTAAGAATCTCAAATCTATGATCATAGAATATTAAACTCAAAATGTGAAGCCCTTCTGAGTCTGAGGCCCTGGTTGTAGGCCAATCCTGAAAACTTTGTATGAGAGAGGAAGGAAAGGAGATGGATGAGACTTGAGAATTTGAGAAAGAAATCAAGAGTAACTCTGAGATTTCTATCTAAGGAGAATGCCCGAATGTTTACCAGGTCAGGTGGGAAGAAGAGGCACTAACCTCTTCTGTAGGGTAGTCTTCTTTTTCAATTGTTATGTCTCTCTCAGAAAGTTCATATTTTTTCTCAAATATCCCATTCTATTCTTATGGAAGTTAGCTTGAAGCTTCTGCCAACATTTAAGAAGCCAGGAGAGAACCAAGGCAAGGCCGGAGAAAAGGAAGACAGAGCGCCTGTTTAGACCCCTCTCTACTCTTCCCATGCAGCTCACTTGTGGTCCAGCACACTTTTCCTGGCAACCACATAGAACGTAGGACCCAAGCTTCAGGTGGTGTTATGGGTTGAATTGTGTCCCTCAAGAAGATGCTGAAGTCCTAACCTCCAGTGCCTGTGAACATGGCCTTATTTGGAAACAGAGCCTTTGCAGATGGTCAAGATGAGGCAGGCTATTGTCTAATATGACTGTGTCCTTACACAAAGGGCAAGTTTAGACACAGAGATAGAAATGCATAGACAGAACACTGTGAATGGGCGCAGGAAGAAGATGGCCATCTACAAGGCAGGAATCGCCTGAGGCCTTCAGAAGCTAGGAGAGAGGCCTGGAACAGAGCCTTCCTCATGCCCTCAGAGGGAGCACAGCCCTGACAATACTTTGATTTTGGACTTCTAGCTTCCAGACAGTCAGATAATAAATATCTGTTGTTCTAAGCCAACCAGTTTGTGGTACTTTGTTACAGCAACCCTAGGAAAATGCTGGAAACAGGTCTAACAGATAATTAAGCTTAAGATGCCTTTGAAATAACATTTATTTATTTTCAAATGTGTTTTTAAAAGAAACAAAGGGGTGTGTGTGTGTGTGTGTGTGTGTGTGTGTGTGTGGTGTGTGCGTGTGTAAGACGTGGTAATACTGTGGATAATTTTTATTTTATTTTTGCTTGCCATATTTTCTAAATATCATATCCTAAAAATATATGACTTTTGTAACAAATACCAAAAGGAAAACTATTTTAAAAGTAGATACGGTACTTACTAATTTGATTCCCAAATTATCAAGGGTCTCTTGATAGCATCAATGCTTCTTAAATCAGAATGTCCTGAGCTCTGAGCCCATATACTCAGCTACCAGATGGACATGTTTATTTGAATGTTCCAAAATTACCTTGAGCTCAATATGCCTAGACCAGAACTCATTGCTTTCTCTTTAAAAATCTGCCCCTTCTGCACACATCATTTCAGATAATGGCACTTCCACTCATCCCAGTCCCTGGACCTCCACCACCCCTTGATTTTATCTAAACTTCTGCCATATCAAATCAATCAGAATGTCCTGCCAGGTCTGTCTCCAAATATGCCCTCCTTCTTCACCTCTTCTCTGCTCCCAGGCTGCCATCTTTGTTCAGCCCTGTGGTCTCTCACACAGCCTCCTGGCTGCACTTCCTTCCATCCCAGCTTCCTACCTCAGCCAACCCCCGCCTCCTTCCATATGGACACTAGTTATCTGCAAAACTGAAAATCTCAGTGGGTCATCCCTACCCACTGATGACAAGATGCAAGCCGATATTTTGTACATGACTTATGTGCTCACTCCTGCCCCCTTTCCTAGGCTCATCTCCAGCAATTCCCCACAGCACATTCTGCTCCAGCTACAGAAAACTACTCTCCAAATAAACCATATTCTTTCATGGCTAGATGTGTTTGCATATGCTGTTTCTTCTCCAAGGAATGTCCTTCCTCTTCCTCTCTCATGTTCTCAGATTCAAGACTTTACTAAAGTACTCTCTGAACCTTTATCTGAGTTCCGTCATAGTCAATTGATAACTATATAGGTAAACTAGGAGCATATAATTCTATCAGCATTTAAGACATTTTATTTTAATTTTTGTTCCCATGACTGTCATTCCCAGAAAGAGGGACCTTCTAAGGAAGGACCCTATCATTCAACTTTGGAATCTCCAGAGCCTAAATCATGACTTGCTCAAATTAGGTTCAACAGATGTTTGTGGAAGGAAGTGCAAGAGGGAGGGAAAAGCCAGTAGACTGGGTTGAGTCTGACACATTTTAGATCTCAAGAAAGTGAAACTTCGAAAATTGAGATAAAATGTCAACATAATATATCAGAGATTAGGGGGCATTGTGAAACAGTTGCTTAAAAAAAAAGTAATCAGCCAAAAGGGTTTGTTTTGTTTTTTGTTTTCCAAAGAGAAAGCATGGTACAGTGGAAGAATGGGACTTAAGAGTCATGAGGCTACTCTGTTACTAACTCTCCAAATGGCCAGGGTCACGTTACTGAACCACCGCAAGCATCAGTTCCCTCACTTGTAAAAATGACAGGACTGTAAAAATCAGGAACAAAAGGACTCCTAATACTCAGATGAATTATTTATTATTCGACAACCATAATTCTTGAATTCTTACTCTAAGCACTGCACTTTTTTTATATACATTTTCTAATTATAGCCTTAAAACCATGTACAATAGGTTTCACTGTTCCCATTTTACAGATGAGGAAAATGAGGCTGACAGTAGCTAAATACCACACACAAGGTCACATTGCTGGTAGATGGAACAGCTGGGACAGAGCTTCAGATCTTTCCAACTCTGAGCCCAGACACCTACTCAATGCCAACTACATTATTTGCATATGGTTCGGGGGTGGCAGACAAGTCAGAGCTGTGAAAAGATGGTCGACTAGAAGCCATATCTTAAAGTTTCACTTGCATAACAAGAAAACTGATGCACTTAGAAACAATTTCTTAGTGAATGCTAGGAAATATATAATCAAACTGATGTCTGTGTCAGAGCCGGTAAAAACCTGTTATGAATTTTTATGCTACTCTCATTCCATTCTTTCCCAGCCCTTACTTTCCATTTTCTGTCCTGTCTACATCTAATTTATGCTATGTTGCTAAGTTTAATATATTCATGTAAACTGCCTAAAATCTTTTTTTAAACAAGACAGGGCATAAGTTAATGGTAACTAATTGTATAGGAAAATATGCAACTGCAACAGTAATTTTTAAATGTTAATAAAACAATTGATATTTTTAAACCTAAGAGTTGTTTTAAAACTTTTTTTAAATGATGATGCCCACTATTAACAAGACCTGAGATTAAACTACAGAGATGAAAATACATGCACATGGAAGGTGATATAATGTATAAATGGTACATTCCTTTATAAAAGTGATTTGGCCTATGTAAACAAAACCACAAATACAATCAATCCAATTAAGTGTGGGTATTTCCCTGGCAGTTAAATGTAACCCCCTGCAAACATATTTAAATCTAAAATATGAGAAAAATTATATACAGAGATATATTTATTACAATATTATTTATAATAGTAAAACTATCAGAAGGAAAGCAAATGTCCAATAGGAGAATGGTTAAATAAACCAAAGCATACCCACTAAGGGAGATGTTTCACTATGTAATGTTTATACTTCAATTTTTGAGCCACATGAATTATCTAGTCAAAAAATTAAATACATTAACTTTTAAAAAGAAAATTATTGAAGTGCCTAGATGGGTCAGTTGGTTAAGAACCTGACTCTTTTAATTTTTTTTTAATGTTTTTATTTATTTCTGAGAGAGAGAGACAGCATGAGCAGGGGAGGGTCAGAGAGAGAGGGAGACACAGAATCCAAAACAGGCTCCAGGCTCTTAGCTGTCAGCACAGAGCCCAACACCGGGCTAGAACCCATGAACCGTGAGATCATGACCTGAGCCGAGGTCGGAGCTCAACAGACTGAGCCACCCAGGCGCCCCATTAAGCACCTGACTCGACTTTGGCTCAAGTTATGATTCCAGGATTGTGGGCTAGAGCCCTGCATCGGGCTCCATGCTGCGTGCTAAGGATGGAGCCTGTTTGAGATTCTTTCTCTCTCTTCCTCTGCCCCTATCCCCCACTCTCTCTCTCAAGTAAAATATAACTAAAAATAAAAAATAAAAAAATAAAAATTATTGGGGTGCCTGGCTGGCTCAGTCAGTAGAGCATGCAACTCTTGATTTCTGGGTTGTAAATTTAAGCTCCACATTGAGTATAGAGATTACTTAAAAATAAAATATTTAAATTTAAAAAAAAAAGGAAATTATTATAGTATAGCATGCTTATAGGAACATGCTTATTTCCTTCTGAAAAATCAGAAAGGAAATACTCCAAAATGTTTCTGGAAATACAATTTTGTGACTTTTTTAAAAATTATTTATACTTTCCAATTTCTGGTAATGTGACAGTATAATATTTATAAACTATTTAAAATACTAGCTTAAAATTATTAAGGAAAAATTACTTGATTTTCAGTAAGTGACCTTTAAGGTTTGAACTCTGAAATTTTCTGATTCTGTGAATATTATCAGGGTGGAAAAAAGCAGGGAAAGACACTGAGGAAACCACTGTAAAAAAAATCAAGTGAGTTTCTTTTTGTTTTAATAAAATTTTTAAGGGGCGCCTGGGTGGCTTAGTCGGTTAAGCGTCCGACTTTCACTTAGGTCATGATCTTGTGGTTCGTGGGTTCGAGCCCCGCGTCGGGCTCTGTGCTGACTGCCACCTCAGAGCCTGGAGCCTGTTTCAGAGTCTGTGACTCCCTCTCTCTCTGACCCTCCCCTGCTCATGCTGTCTCTGTTTCTCTCCCAGAAATAAATAAAACATTAAAAAATTTAAATAAATAAATAAAATTTTTAAAAGATCTCTTTTTCTTTCCCTGCTGATTCCACAAAGCCCATTACTTTGGCTGTGGTTTATTGAGTTTCTATAAAAAATAGTAAGTGTAATTTTTAGAAAAAGGGATAAATGTACAATGTTAATCTGAACAACATAAAAATTTTAAGATACCTTTAAACACACTCAAATAAGTACCATATTAATAATAATTCAGTAACATAACTACAAAATGTTGTTTAAGCTGCTAAAAGTAAAAAATGTGGATAAAAAAATGATTAGAAAAGGAATTTAACACTCTCAATGTACTTAATATTCAGAATATTCTCACAAATTATTATGTTCTATTCTGAAAGTAATATGGATTGAATGCTTACCTCCCTTCAGAGCTCTGCAAAAAGAATAAACATCATCAGCTCCTCGGCAAATAACTTCTTTGCGCATTGGCAACTCCATGGCGTTTATGGATAAATAGAGATTGAAATATAATTTTCTAATATCTCTTCCTTAAAAAGAAAAACAAATCTCATTAGTCCCTCAAATAATAGATTCTTTTATAAATAATAAATTAACATGTGTTGTACACTTAGAATATGTCCTTTACTTTTTCTACATTATTTCATGTAATCATCATGACAACTTGCCACATGAGTATTGCTATCCTTGTGCTACAGATGAGAACAATGAAGCTCAGAGATGGAAATTAATAGATTGCAATCCAACAGAATATTCCACAGTGAAAATTATGTGCACTCGGCCTGAAAATAGAGGAACCTATGTTTTTGAGAAAACTGTCAAGTGGGTATGTAAAATTTCCAGTTCCAGTCCTAGTTCTGCTGAGAAGTTCAAGAAAAAGGAAAGGGAAAGGAAAGGAAATGAGGATAATCAACTCATGCCCCGATTTTAGATTTTTTTTTTTTAATATTTAGAGAGAGAGAGTGCGTAAGTATGAGCGGGGGAGTGGCAGAGAGAGAAGGAGAGAATCCCAAGCAGTCTCTATGCTGCCAGCACAAAGCCCAATGTGGGACTCAACCTCATAACACATGATATCATGACCTTAGTCAAAATCAAGAGTTGGAGGACCATCTGGGTGGTTCAGTCAGTTGCGTGTCTGACTCTTGACTTCGGCTCAGGTGATAATCTCAGAATTTCCTGAGTTTGAGCCCTGTGTTGGGCTCTGCAGTGGAGAGCCTGCTTGGGATCCTCGCTCTCTTTCTCTCTCTCTGACCCTCCCTCACTCACATTCTTTGTCTTTCTCTCAAAAAAAAGAGCTGGACACTTAACCAACTGAGCCACCCAAGCACCCCTTAGCAGTTTTGATAAAAGACTTCTTGGAGAATAAAATTGAACTTTTTGATTAAAAATTATATGTACAAGTTATCTTATTATTTTCTCATGGTTTCCCTATTAACATTTAACATTTAACTCCTTCCTTTCCTCTCTCATTTCAAAGGTATCAGACCTGCATCTGAATCTGAATTCACTCCTTGCCTACTCTGGCTTCCTCTTCACTTTATTTTTCACATCATTTCCCCTAAGAACTCTCTCGTATGTCTAATTCCTCTTTGGTATCTGCTTTTCAAAGAACACTAAGTGACTCTGTATTGTATTATTCCTTCAGCCTGGAAGGATACAGTCTGATTCCCGTCTGTAAGGGCAAGAGGTTCAATTGAAAACAAGGTCGTTTGTTATGTAAATAATCACTTCTGCCAAATGTGGGCGGAGGGGGTGGTAGATAAAGCATATCAGTAAACAAAACCTGAGAAAAGAGGAAGAAATTATAGAACATCAGCCAGACAAAAACTTAAATTATTTCTCTCACCCTTGGCCAAGAAAGTGGAGTGAACAGAGTTGATTATTCTTTCCTCTGTGCTACCACTAACTAAGCCTGAATGTTATCATTTCACTTACCATGCCATATTATCTACAGATCTCTCTCTCCCACTGCACTGATTCTTGAGGGTCAAGAAATGTCTTATTCATCAATGAATTCACAATACCTATCACACTACTTAAAACATACTATGTATTTCTAAATATTTTTTAATGAATACAGGAAAGCAGAAATAAAATTTCAAAATACAGGATAAACAATTAGATTCAGGAAAAATAAAACACAAGTTTACTGTCTGTTATTTCTGAGTTCTCAGCAACCTTTTGTCTTGTAAACTGAGAACTAAAATCAGGGGGGAAATGTTTATTTATGTGAAAGCACTTTGTAAAGTGCAAGCTCCAAATATAGGTTAGGATGTAAAGGATGGCAATGATGAAAACAATAATGATAATGATGATGATTAGAACTGAAGTTTCCTGGGGCACCTGGGTAGCTCAGTCGGTTGGTTAAACGTCTGACTTCAGCTCAGGTCACTACCCTGTGGGTCTGTGAGTTCAAGCCCTGTGTCAGGTTCTGTGACAGATCACAGCTTGGAGCCTGATTCACATTCTCTGTTTCCCTCTCTCTCTGTCCCTCTCCCACTTCACACTCTGTTTCTCTCTTTCTCAGAAATAAACATTAAGGCGTGTCTGGGTGGCTCAGTCGGTTGAGCATCCGACTTCAGCTCAGGTCATGATCTTGTGGTTTATGAGCTCAAGCCCCACATCAGGCTCTGTGCTGACAGCTCAGAGCCTGGATCCTACTTCTGATTCTGTGTCTCCCTCTCTCTGCCCCTCCCTGCTCTTGCTCTCTCTTAAAGAATAAATAAACATTAAAAAATATTTTTAAAAATAAAAAAATAAAAATAAACATTAAAAAAAAAAAAGAAGAACTGAAGTTTCCCAGGATCCTAAGGCTTATAGGCAACAGAGCTGAGGAGGAGGAGAGGAAGCAAGTTTTGTGTGTTTTCACAGACACTCAGATCTATCCTGATGCTATCACCATCACCCAACTTAGGTTTTACTAAGCTGATGACAAATGAAATCATAGAGAGGAAAAACAAGACACAAAACAAAACAAAAAATATTGCCTTCTTTTATCCCATCTCATCATAGCTTTTCTAGAAAGGTCATCTTTATATATATATATATGTATATATATATATTTATGTTGCTTGCTCATATGTAGATCTTTCACTTGTGGAAACCCAGCTTTACTCATGAGCTGAATAGTTAATGGCTGACAAAGGATATACCTATTAGATTATTCAAAGTCTCATGTTATTTCCATTTTTACCTCCATGTTAATCCTTTCCCCCATGAGTGTGAGCTAGTCTAGTGGCTTGTTTCTAACAAAAAGTATACCGCAAAGGTCATAGAGTGATACTTCCATGATTAGGCTACATAAGATTGTAACTTCTATCTTGTTAGTTGACTGTCCCTCTTGCTGGCTTTGATGAAGCAAGAAGCCATATTGAAAATGCCCATATGGCAAGGAACTGAGTGTTTTCCAACAGAAAGACAGGAACTGAATCCTGTCAACAACCACAAGAGCCAAGAAGTGAATTCTTCTCTACTTGAGCATTCAGAAGAAACTCCAGTCCTGGCTGATACCTTAACTGAAACCTTGTGGGAGATCCTGAAGCAGACACAACTAAGCCATGCCCACGCTACTGACAAACAAAGCCTGCAAGATAATAGATGTATACAGTTCTAAAACTGTGGTAATTTGTTACATAGAAATAGAAAATAAATACATGTACATTTGGAACACAATAATTTATCATTAATACTTCTTGAACCTTTTTCATTGAAGTACAAAAACAAAACATTGGTCTTACTTGGAATGAAGGAAACATGCAAGTATCCTCGGCTTCCCTTCATTATTATACAGGGCTCAATATCTATTGAGATAGGGATTTTCATCTTATCTAAATGAAGAATAAAGATGTCAATAAATTATTATAAATCATTTCCAGTAAGTAAAGTATTCTGAATATCATTCCCCAAGAGATGCTATTAAAATTGTGTAATGAAAAAAATTGAGGGTGGTTGAAAACATCTGCCTCCCCGGAGGAGTGACATCAGCAAGATGACAGAGTAAGAAGTTCAAGACCCTCCTTCTCCTCACAAACATACCAATTCAGCAACAACCCACGGACAAATCCCCTTTGCGAGAAATCAGAAACTAATTGAAAGTTTCCTGTATCCGAGGAGAAACAGGAGAATGTGAAATCAGACCCACTAATGTCAGTAGAGGACGTCATTTTACCAGAAACCTTACACCTGGCACAGCACCATCAGGAAAAGATGCCCTAGTCTCCCAGCTTCATTCATGAGGCAAGAGTTTGGTTCCTGTATCCGAGTTTTCCAAGGTGGATACCCAAACGAATGACAAATTAGAAAGTCTGAACAGACCTCTAACTAGTATGGAGATTGAAAAGTAATTAAAGGGGCACCTGGGTGGCTCAGTCGGTTAAGCATCTGACTTTGGCTCAGGTCATGATCTCACGGTCTGTGAGTTTGAGCCCCACATCAGGGTCTGTGCTGACAGCTCAGAGCCTAGAGCCTGCTTTGGATTCCGTGTCTCCTCTCTCTGCCCCTCCCCTACTTACACACACATACACACACACTCTCTTTCTCTCTTAAAAGTAAATAAACCTTAAAGATTTTTTTTAAAAAAAGATAAATAATTAAAAACTTTCCAACAAAGAAGAGCCTAAGACCAGATGGCTTCACAGGGAAATGGTAACGTTTATTTATTTTTTTAAGTTTATTTATATATTTTGTGAGAAAAGAGAGACTGTGTGAGCAACTAGGGGAGGGACAGAGAGAGGCAGAGAGGATTTCAAGCAGTTTCTACATTGACAACAAAGAGCCTGATGAGGGGCTCAAACTTACAAACAGTGATATCATGACCGGAGCTGAAACTAAGAGTCAGATGCTTAACTGACGAAGCCACTCAGGCACCCCTCTCACAAACATGAAAATAAGAATTAATACCAATCCTCAAAGTCTTCCCAAAATTGAAAGGGACTATTTCCAAACTTATTTTATGAGGCCAGCATTACCCTGATATTAAACCAGACAAAAACACCACAAGAAAACTATGAGCCAATATCTCTAATGAATATAGATGCAAAAATCCTCAACAAATTACTAGCAAGCTAAATTCAACAAAAAATTAAAAGGATCATACACCTAGACCAAGTAGGACTCAATTCCTTGGATGCAAGGATGTTTCAACATATGAAAATCAATTAATGCAATATATCACAATAATAGAATGAAGGATAAAAAATCACATGATTATCTCAATAGATGCAGAAAATGCATTTGACAAATTCAACACCCTTTTGTGATAAAAAAAAAAAAAAACTCTCAACAAACTAGGATTAGAGGAAATGGCTTCAGCATAATAAAGGCCATACATGAAAAGCCCATACACTCAGTGGTGAAAAACTGAAAGTTTTTCTTCTAAGATCATGAACAAAGCAAGGATACCCACTCTTAACATAGCACCAGAAGACCTAGTCAGATCAATTAGACAAGAAAAATAAATAAAAAGCATCCAAATCAGAAAGGAAGCAGTAAAATTTTCCTTGCATGCAGAAATGATTCCTTTTTTTTAAAATTTTTTTTACAATTTTATTTTTAAGTAATCTCTATATCTAACATGGGGCTCAAACCCACAACCCCGAGGTCAAGAGTGACATGCTCCACTGACTGAGCCAGCCAGGTGCCCAAGACATGATTTCATATATAGAAAATCCTAAAGATTCCATTGAAAACTGTTATAACTAATCAACAAATTCAGGAAAATTACAGGATTCAAACTCAATGTACAAAAATCAGTTGCATTTCTATGTACTAACAATGAGCTACCTGAACAGAAATTAAGAAAACAATCCCATTTACAATAGCACAAAAAAGGAATAAGTACTTGGGACTAAACGAAGGACAGGAAAGACTTGTATACTGAAAACAACAAGACATTGGTGAAAGAAATTAAACAAGCACAAACAAATGGAAAGACATCATGTGTTCACTGATGGGAAGAATTAATATTCTTTCTTTTTTTAAAAAAAAGATTTTATTTTTAAGGAAACTATATCCATTTTGAGGCTTGAACTTACAACCCCAAGATCAAGAGTCATAATGTCTACCAACTGAACCAGCCAGGTGCCCTAGAAGAATTAATATTCTTAAAATGTCCATATTACTCAAAGAAATTTACAGATTCAATGCATTCCCTATCAAAATCGCAATAGCATTTAAAAATTTTTTTTTATTGTTTCTTATTTTTGAGAGAGAAAGACAGGTGTGGAGGTGAGGTGTGCAGAGAGGGAGAGAAACACAGAATTTGAAGCAGGCTCCAGGCTCTGAGCTGTCTGCGTAGAGCCTGATGTGGGCCTCAAACTCACGAAGCACAAGATCATGACCTGAGCTGAAGTCAGACACTTAACTGACTGAGCCACCTAGACGCCCCTCAATGGCATTTTTTAACAGGAAAAAAAATTTTTTTAATTCATATTGAACTACAAAACCCACAATTAGTCAAATTAATCATGAGAAAGAAGAACAAATCTGGAGGCATCACATTTCCTGATTTCAAACTATATTACAAAAGCTACAGTAATAAAAACAGTATGGTACTGGCATAAACATAGACACAGACACCAATGGAACTAAACAGAGTGCCCAGAAATAACTTCATGCATATATTGTCAACTGATCTTTGACAGGGTGTCAAAAATGCATAATAGGGAAGGGATGGTCCTTTGAAGAAATGGTGCTGGGAAATCTGGATTTCTATATGCAAAAGAATGAAATTGGGTGGTTCAGTGGGTTAAGCGTCCGACTTTGGCTCAGGTCATGATCTTGCAGTTCACGAGTTCAAGTCCCATGTCAGGCTCTGTGCTGATAGCTCACTCTCTGTTTCTTAAAAAATAAACGTAAAAAAATTTTAATGAAAAAAAAAGAAATTGGACCCTTATCATATGACATATAGAAAAATCAGCACAAAATGGTATAAAGACTTAAAGATTCAAAACTATAAAATCCTTGAAGAAAACAGAGGAAAAGTGTCAAGGCATTGGTATTGACAATGATTTTATAAATATGACATCACAAGTACTAGCAGCAAAAACATAAATAAATAAATAGAACAACATCAAACAAAAAAGCTTCTGAACAGCACTCAACAAAGTGAAAAGGCAATGTATGGAATGGGAGAATACATTTGCAAACCACATAGCTGATAAGGGATTTATGTCCAAAATATATAAAGAATTATAATAATTCAATTATTAAAAAATTAATAACCTGATTAGAAAATGGTCTAAAAACTTTAGATATTTCTCCAAAGAAAACATGCAAATGGACAACAGGTGTATGAAAAAAATGTTCACTATCACTAATCAGGGTAATGCAAACCAAAATCACAATGAGATACCACCTCACACTTGCAAGGAGAGCTATTGTCAAAAAATCAAAAGGCAAGGGTTGGCAAGGATATAGAGAAATTGGAATACTTGCACACCATTGGAGGGAATGCAAAATGATGCAAAATGAATGCAAAATTAAAAACAGAACTGCCATATGATCCAGCAATCCCATTTCTAGGTACTTCTGTCTGAAAGAACTTCAATCAGGATTTCAAAGAGATATCTGCACTCCTGTGTCTACTGTAGCACTCTTCACAATCCAAGATGTAGAAACAACCAAAATGTCTATAGATAGATGAAAGGATAAAGAAAATGTGGTCTATACATACAATGGAATACTACTCAGTCTTAAGGAAAAGAAGGAAACTTTGCAATGTGCTACAACATGAATGAATTCTGGGAACATTAGACTAAGGGAAATAAGCTAATCATATAAAGACAAATACTGCATGATTCCACTTACATGAAGTGTCTATACAGTCAAATTCATAGAACCAAAGAGTGGAACAGTGGTTGCTAGGGGCTGAGGGGAGAAGGGGATGGCAAGTTACTAACCAACAGGCATAAAGTTATGCCATAAAGATCTCCGCCATTATGACATGGTGCCTATAGTCAACAATAATGTACTGTACGCTTAAGTGTTTAAGAGGATAGATCTCATGTAAAGTGTTCCTACCACAGTAAAACAGATTTAAAAATAGTATACAAAAACAGAAAATAAACCTCCCTGTAATGTAAATAGATTAGTGTTTTAATATCCTAATATGGTTATGGTGGAAGTCGAAGATACTGAATTATTATTTTTTTTGAAAATTATTTTCTCCTATTTTGCTTTTTTTAAAATTTTTAATGTTTATTTTATTTTTGAAGGAGACAGAGCATGAGTGGGGGAGGGGGAGAGAGAGAGGGACACACAGAATCCAAAGCTGGCTCCAGGCTCTGAGCTGTCAGCACAGAGCCCGACGTGGGGCTCGAATGCTCGAACCACGAGATCATGACCTGAGCTTAAGTTGTACGCTTAACCGACTGAGCCACCCAGGGGTCCTGATGCAGAATTATTTTAAACTGTGTGGAGGAAAAAAAACTTCCCAAAACGTATTTTCATAAAATTACTTGTTCTATTTTGGAAGTTTTTAACCTTTTCTTCTCTACATTGCTCTCCTTTTCCCCACTCTCCTCACTTTGTGTCATTGGTTCAAAATAGAAAATATACATCAAGTACTTAGAGATCTGGTAAATGTTAAGTGAGTGAATAAATGAATGAATAAGTTAATGAAGAGTCTTCCTGAAGAAGGAGTTTCAAGAAAGGTGTAGAAGAAGAGTTCATAAAAGCACTGAGGAGGAAGAGAGAGACAATACTAGGTTTGCATGGATTTACCCCGAATGCAATCCTTAAAATTAATGTTAACATCTCTTATTCAATTAATTGAGTTTACCTGCAACAAAATTCTCATAGAATGAATATTAACAGTCATTTCACCTAA